TAAAGGCAAGGAGGTTAGGTAGGAAAGGCATCTAGTTTGAAGCAATCCTAACCTCCATGCAACAGTAGATACCTTCATAGTATGCAATCTATTCACGATCTACCACGTGGCAGCCTTAAAGATTCAGTTAAGCTTCTTGCAGATTATAGAGAAAAAATAGGCAGAGACAGAGAAGGCTGGTTAACGAGGAAAAGGATCTAAAGATCTACATAGGGGTGCCCATCCCCCGCCCCCACCCCAAGGTCGATGGCGCAAGAACCATGCCATTCCTTCAAGTTCCCTTCTTCAATGTATCTACAGTTGGTGGAGATCAATGTACCTTCCTTATTCCCAAAACTCTCCTTACACTCACTACAAATTATAGTTAACTGATAGGAAATTAGGAACTGTGTTAGTATTATTATTTGTTTAGTCACACTTAAGCCATACACTTCAGTAGGAATAAAGTTTTTAATGAGTATTAATACAGTCTGCTACACTGAAGGATATTGGTACTAGAGTATTCATTCACACAATATGTACATAAGAAAGGAAAATAAAGATAAATAAAATAAAAGATAAATAAAATAAAAATTAAAAAAACAAAACAGTAATGATATTGAAGATAGCCAGATGTAGGTTAGTGTAACAATGAATAAAAAAAAGGATGTGTAAAAACAAATAAATATATAATGAACGTGACAAATATTTAAATTTTTGACAAATGGTGCCACATCAAAAAAGCAAGTTTCAGTGAATATAAGGATTGCTCTGATGATGGGAAAATTGTCCCGAAACGTTAGAGGTGATAAATGTGAATAAAGCGATTTGGAGGAAATTAGAAGTTTTTTTTGCCTTAATTATGAAAAAATATATAATCGTAGGCTTCCTAAAAAAAAGAAAAATAAGAAGATAATTTTAATGAGTATTAATACAGTCTGCCACACTGAAGGACATTGGTACTAGAGTTATAGTCTTCATTCACACAATATGTACATAAGAAAGGAAAATAAAGATACATAAAATAACAGATAAATAAAATAAAAATTAAAAAATAAAGATCAAAATTAAAAAAAAAAAAAACGGAACATTTTTGTTATTATTATTCTTTTAAAATATAGGGACATGTAATTTTTTGATTCAAACTATTTTCCAAATATGTATAGGTAGTCTCAAAGCAAACAAAAAAAAAATGTTTAATTGTTTTTATTTTGAACGTTCATTCTCAACTCATAGTATCAGTAATAGAAGAAGATAAAAGAGGTAGCATGACTGTTTTTGAATTTACAATAATTTTATTGTTTAATAATTATATATGGGTGTTTCAATAAATATTTAGTGGGGAGGAAACACATTTCCCCTCTTCACAAGTTTTAGGAAGAGTGACAGTTCTGGAAAACAAGAAAACTGCAGAAAAGTATATTTTCTGTAATATCCTTATTAGATGTAAGAGTGTTATCATATATTTTGAATTATATTCTGGTGGAGGATGGAGATTGACTTACGAAATCATGCATCATTATTTCTTAATAATGTATTTTACTCTATTTATAGATAGTGTGAACCAATGGTCCTCGAAAGGATTTTTTTTTTTTTTTTTCTTGTAGGAGATATGAATAAATGGATGAAGTAACAAGGTTTATTATATCCTTGAAACAATTTTATATGATTAATAAAATATAAAATATAGAGCACTCATAATTTACATACTGAATAAAAATTGCTAATTAAATGAAGGAGGATTTGCTAGCAGACGAACGAATGCAATGCAATATACAATTTATGGGTTTCTTTCTCTTTTCCATTTGTCTTGAACATTACGTTACTTTTAGTGGTAGCGTTTCTGTTTTGAAAAATGATTTTCATCTAGAGCCCCCTCCCCATTCCTCCGTATATAGGAATATGAAATGAGGTTTTCTCATCCATCTTCAGGGAGTGGGAATGGATTTAGTACAGATAGGGGAGGGGGTGGAGGAAATAGAATTCCATCCTACATCTATCATTTGCTGGTTTATGGAATCGATCGAAAGAGGCAGCAACGTCTCTGGTAGGACTTCGGTCTCAACCTTTATTGCACCGAGGAGACTCTCTAAAAAAAGACAGATCCTTGCAATATACAGAAGTTCAAATTAAACTATATAAAATCATGGTTGACCGCTACTAGACATAGTGGTTTGCAACATTATTCATCACCATCAAACATAGCCTGTAACTAGCTAATATAATAAACAATTAGAATTATTACGGTTATCTGTTCACGTACACCCAATTTAAAATCGATATAGTTAATCTCAATATATTGAAACATCTTACTAGTGTTGCACAAATGCGATACCGAGACGAATCTTGGTCTTGCGTCATTTTTAATATTGGAGAAATCTAACCCGGAATGAAATATTATAACAGTTAAATGCAAAATTATATTGGTTATACCGATTATCCGAACCATTTTGGCTTAATTTTAATTCAAAAAGTCGATTGTTTATAGCAGTCATGGTGCAAAGTGGAAGAACAAGACCGATTTTGGGCAACACTACATGTGTTGAGAATGCTAAGATATCTTACAAGATAAACATAATATATATTACACTGATTCAATTTTCTTGATTTAAATATTCTGTGAAATTTACAAATCAACTAAGCTAAATTATGTATACGGGACATAGGTAGCCGTGCAGGCTAAGGCGCTTGCAATAGGTAACCAAGTTAAGCAAAGCCGAGAGTGGTTAGCACTTGGATGGATGACCGCCTGATTTGGGTGACCGTCCACCAGGGAAAGAGCCACGCTGCCCGAGAACCCACTTAAATCAGGAATCGGAATGTGGTATAGAAGACCACATCTCACGGTCAGAGATTTACAAGATCTGTAGCGCCAACCGAAATATATATATATATATATATATATATATATATAATATATTATATATATATATATATTATATTCATAACTTCGTTAGGTAATATAATACAGGATTGCATCGTTAAATTTAAAACATCATAATACTATTTCACTTAACTATCAAAACTGTTGAAAGAGACACTTTTATTCTACTTGTAATTTTGATGAAAGAAGACTGTAAGCGATTGCTAAAACATTAATAAGAAACAGAGGCATAACCGCAGTAAAGGAGAGTACAAAACTTACCTAAAACATTAGAAAATAATACAAGTGTCTTTTTCCGCAGTTTTAATAAGGCGAAATAATTATCAAACACAAATTAATTTATAAAAAATGTTTTAAACCCTATATTATATTACTTAATTAAATTAAATAAATATAATTTATAATTTAAGCATCCGTTCGTCGAAGAAACTTTTTCTGCAGGAAAAGAGTATGGAATTAACATAGAGCTATGGAAGAAATTTGGTGCCCTTTGTTTTTTATCACTTAATTTTGATAATAAATGGATGATGAAACTCTCTTTTTGACATTAAAAGGTCCTATACTAGCTTCATCTAATTTATTGGCGTTTGAAACGTACACTAAACCGCCTTCTTGAAATCAATATTCTTCCCTAGATTGATTTATCCGCATCGCATTTCTTTCAAAACCTTAACTCGAATATTTTAATGCTTTCTGACGATCAATTCTCAAATCAGTGCCATGTTTCAATTCAGCGAGAACTATATCGCTATGTTATTCCATGTAAGAGATAAGCAGGTGAACGTTTAGTCGTTCCGTATTGTTGTATTCCTTGTTACAAAACTCAGAAACAGTAATCCATGGCGCCATTCTCATTCATTCGATAACGTATTCTGTTCACCAGTTTGATTTAACCGTTCATTCATTCCATTAGATTGTGGATTGTCTACTGCTGTATATAGCAGAACAATTCTCTTTTTGTCTAGATATGTTCTGAACTTCCTTGAATTAAACGCATCAATATTTGATCTACTAGCAACATTTTTATGTTGTTTCCTTCTGCCAATGGGTTTATCACCTTGGCTCCTATAAGGATCTAAGCATACCTACAAAAATGATCGACTAGTAAATGCATATAATTTTTTTTTCAAACTTAAAAACCTCGACTAAATAATCACAAAAGTAACTTAAAAACAATTCAAAAACAACCACTGCCTTATCTGACCACGCACAAACCCACATACATGAAATAGATTTTGATAATATTAAAATACTCCACAAACCTTACTCCCGATCAAAACTCAAAACTTTAGAATCTACATAAATCGTAACAAACCATAATCAGGTGCTAAATTCAAAGCAGGAAGTGGCTCATATACCACAACATTACTCGCACATAAAAGCAAACCATAAAAAAATTTTTAAAAAATAAGGGGGGGGGGAAAGGAACTTGGGTAATTTTTAGTTACTAGATTTGTGTGGAATATAGATGGCGCTGACAGTAATGATTCAGCATTCAGTGAAATGGTGTCAGATAGTGAGGGGAACCCTTTTCTAAATAAGTCGGTAAATAAATTGTATTTCAATTCAATTTACTTAATTAACAACTAATTTAATTCAAAAAATTTTTAGACAAAATAAGAGACGAAGAGCAAAGTCTGCCTCAATCTACTATGATCTTAAATAGTTAAATAAGAGAATAAGAGATGAATATGGTGCAGGCGAAAGCTTCTCTAGAAATAAAGTTAATTTTTAAATAAAAATAGCGATGTAAACAAATAAAATAAAAATAGCATTCCTTCATAAAATGATTCAACCTTTTGAACTTCTTTAGAAGAACGAAAAGGTTTGAGACCGAGATGGAGAAATAATGGACAACCATTGGTAGCATTGTCTTTGAGGTTGGCAAAAAGGACCAATAGGCCCACTTGCTGGACTAAGTCCCCCCACCAGTACCAGTACCAGTAACAGTAAATAAAAATAAAAATTGGTATACAAATATCCTGATCAATTAAAAATAATATATTCACAAGATTCACACTTCTTTTGGAGGAATTAAAGGTTCTTTCCTTTTTTGTTCTCTCCTCAATTTAGCTTCTTCATCCTTTTTTACCATTTCTGCTTTCTTCTTCTTTTCGTTTTCTTCCTTTGTCATAAACTACTCTCCAGAGGCTGGGAGTACATCAACTTTCCTTTCCTGTTGTGGTGGAGAGAATGGTGTGTAGGATTTCTTTTCCTTCTTCTTCTTTGTTTTCTTTTTAGCACCCTCTGACATCGTATCAAATTTCGGTAAAAATCTGGACCAACTCTCATTTTTCAGTTTTGGACAATTCTCTCTATCTCTAGACAATTCTCTTTCAATCATTAGCATTTTAATATTTTAAAGTAGGTGTACATTTTTAATAGTTTCTTTAATGACAAAAATCAAACCTCGATATAGTCCAACTGCGACAACTGCCCTTGTGCCTGCGTATAACAATAAGAAGTTTAATACATTTAAGTGCTATAAGTCTCAGTCGCCTTTTCAAGAACTATTCCTTATTTCTAATCACAGTTTCAATTTTGATGATATCAGAACCATCTTCCAAAACTTCCTGTGTGCTCTCAATAAGTACTCTACGTAATAATAATTTAATCATATCTCTAGCTTATACAATTATAAAAGTTTTTCTAGTGGTGCGAACAGTCATTGTGCCTTCGACTAAGTCTAACTGTACTTTGATGAAATATGCTCCGAGAATCGTCTCTACAAGAGGCCAACGATTCTTTCAATATGCTTCTCTTTATGCAGGAGAACGTTTGGAAATTGGACTCTCTTCCAATGGACTATAAGAGTCGTCTTCTGGTTTTAAGAGAACAGGCATCAGAAACATCCACATATGACCATTAATCGCTTTACCACTACCACCCCACGGGGCCACTTGATGCACAAAAATAATCAAGAAAATAATGAATGTTATTTATAATATATATATGTATGTATATATATCAAATAGTCAATATATATCAAAACTCTATCTGAATACCTGACAAAAATCTACGTATGAAGTAAATTCTTATAAAAATGATATAGGAGAGACTTTTATATAGGTCATACTAAAAAAGGATAGATAGATAAATGAATAGCAAATAAAAGTGATATCGTCATCGAGCAAGACAGAATCATAAGTATACTATACGATACATTAAAACGCACTATGTACCCAAATTAGCTGTTAAAATTAAAAAGAAAAACAAATTTCAAATTATATGAAAACCAAAATATAAAACTTCAGGAGAAGAGGCTACTGGACACTACCATCTCGCACGGTGATAAGGGAAAACGCGCGGACTTGGTGATAGCAAATACCTGTCCCGGATTTCGGATGTTCAGGCGATAGTTGAAGATCGCGAGCTATGGGAAGCCTTGGGTCATCATGCACTGTATCTGAGATGGCAGATGTTCCTAAAGCAACGTAGAGGTGGTGCCTGTGATTTTATAACGGAAGGATCTATGATTCAAGCTGGATTATCAGAGGATTGGTCATTTCTTTCTCGAGGTGGAGAGGAAGAGCGAACCATTTCACACCGACGGAATTGGATTCCGTGGATCGCTTCGAGCACGAAGACATGTATTCAGCGACCGATACAGTGAAGATTTCGTTGACTCACACGCACGAAACATAAAATGAGAGTCTTTAAACCCGAGTACAAACCACAGCGTTTATGAAGCTCTCTACTCACCTAGATATTGTATCGAACGTATCATTCATGATGTGAAATAAACAGATAAGATGATCGACGATGCTGTGTGGGAAATCATGGACTTACGCCCGGATGAAGCTACCAAGCGGAAGGTCGACAACCGGTCTGACGAGGAAATAGAAGGACCGGACAAACTCAACTTGCCTAACAAGCGATGGAATTATCTAAGACCTAGGTTGCTTCGGGGAAAACGATAATAGCTGGTGACAAAGAAACAAAAACGCATTCAACAGTCAATCTATTAGATTGATATCTTGCGATCCAGCTAACTACCAATCAGAGACTATTCCCAAGTGGGTTGATGGATGACTACGAATTCGAATTCAAAAATGAGCAATTCTGTTATCGTCCAAATTTAATAACATATGTCGCCCAACATATAAAAGTTATAACGAATCAAAAGCTCGCCTCAGCCCTACATCAATCAGTAATGGGTTCTTCAGGCAAGAAGCTTTCTTAAACATTGATATTGCCAAGAAGTTTTTATTAAAAAAAAGGAGTTGATGATCCTTGAGTTTTTCGCCTTAAAGCCGAAATAAACAAACAACTCTCTTTCGAGTCCGTCGGCCGAGTGAGACCGCCTCTACGCCATTTAATTATAGTTTTGTACGTGAGCTCCAACTTGTCGCCATACGGACAGAGGCTAGTTGGGCCTCCGAGGAGCGGCCCTGTTATCAGGAGGTTGAGACAGGCTTGCCCACAACCCGCACTACCAAGCCTCAGTGGAACTTGGTTAAGCTTTTGTTGTCACTGCATGCTTATCAAAAAGGAAATTATTAATTAATTTATTTTTAAATATTTGGTAGGAAATAGATGGTATTAACAATTACCAGTATAAAATTGGTATAAATTAATCTATTTAATAAAAAAAAAATTGTTCAGATTAATTTATTTATGCACGTATAGATGTGTATGTGTAAATCCACCACCCCAATCCATATTTTTTAAAATATTTGTATTGAAATTTACAACTGTAAACATATATACAACCAGTAAATTTGCTATAGGAATATATTACATGAAGGCACTTGTGAAGAAGCTACCCATTGGTAACACTTCAAAGATAAATTTAGGAGGTCCCTTGGCCATCTTCTTTTCAGACGCCTCGGAGGGATGTCAGGAATTGTGTTGGATGAAAGGTTACAAACTAGAGGATTGGGTTATCCAAAAAGTTTGGAATGAAAAGAGATATATCTAGTTCGGGCCAAGTCTTCCACAAGAGGGATGTTAAGGTCTCTATTGATAATATTATTTATTACATAATTAGGAGCATTTAGGATTTTACGGAGATTTTGGATTGTAAGGATTGAATACGGGAAGCTACCCAGATTTAAAATCCTCTTATTCCAATTCCTCTTTACAACTCGATCAGACGCTGGGTAGCCATTTATCATGTAACAAAATTGCATTTTTCTCTATGTAACATTTGTATATGAATATATATATTCTTTATTGAGTACGGAAAAGATGTCCAGTCACGTTCACTAAGAATTGTTTTGGTCAGTTTTTCAATGTATAATATTCTAAGTCTTTGAGAAATATTTAATTGATTACTAATATTGAATGCGCTCCTCTATACGTGTATCATCTTTTATTTTCTCCGATCAATGTACATCTTAGGATATAGATTATATAACACTTTTATAATGTCTACAATACTATTATTGTATTCATTTGAACACATTAAGGTACACAAGTAAATCAATTATAGTAAATATTTATCTGCTCTTTTATTATTATTATTTTCATTAATTCAATAGATTTAATAGAGAAATTTTAAATTTCATTTAGTATTCCATAGTTTATTGTTTGTAGCAATTATTTTGCAGTGTTGTGACCATATTGCTCATGTCATTTCTTTAATATATCTGTATAGTTATTTAAATACTTCTGTCATTACTTAGTTTTTAGTTATTTCTTTTTTTATTGTAATATGTATTTTGGCCAGATAGTGTGTTAATTTTTACGTACAAAATTGTTATTCTTAAAGGACTTTGTCCCAGAATATAGTTGATTCTTCTGTTCTGTGTTGATGCGCGTGAATCAGAAACGTAAAAATATATGTCTTCTGTTCATTTATCCTAATTTTGGTGTCTTGAGGTTTTATTTTTATATAAATTAGGCCAATTATCACCAAACATTTTATTGATCCGCTATTTAATTCGACGTTTCGACCATACTAAGGCTCATTTTCAAGTCTGGAAAATTGTAATATCACTATTAGTTTTCTAAAGAATTTCTTATTACACTTAATTAACTTGTCTAACGATCTATGTCATATTATTTTCGATATTCATAAATTTATCCAAATCTATACATAAAAGTATACTCTTTTTCTTATAAAAAAAACCTTACATGTACTTAACTTTAAACATTAAAAACAATTGACTATTACCTTGGTGAGTCCTCCGTTATATATTCATCATTAATATCGCAAATAATATGTCCAGTGAACATTAAATTGTCATGGTCTATAGGGGTTTCACCTACGTCATTTCGGGAGGGACTGATTTATGACGTTATGTCGTGGAGTCTCTTTTTACTAAAAGAAGTATATAAAATACTAGAAAAAGGATGGTCGGAAATATAACCTCATACACCAGTTAAAAATAAGGCAATATTCCTTGAAGGAATAAGATTATGTTGTGAAAATGGATATTTTGCATATAATAATACATGAAAAACGGACTACCGATGGGAGGTTCGCTCTCGGTCAATCTTAGCGGCATATATCTAAACCACATAATGGACCAAGCTTTAAAAAAACTTAATATAACTCCAAAACTCTGTATAAAATACATAGACGATATCCTCATGATAATGAAGGAAAATGAAACTAAAAATTGTTTACATATATTAAATAATATATCAGACAAACTAAAATTTACAATAGAAATAGAAAATAATAAGAAAATCAGATTTCTGGACATTATGATATATAGGAATGAAATAGAAAAACTCACCACATACTGGTGCAAAAAATCCATAGCTAGTAATAGAATTTTAAATTGGCACAGTAATCATTGTTCAAATCAAAAAATTAATTTAGCTAAAAACATAATAGAAAAAGCTAAAATGATCACGGATAAAATACATATCAATAAAATAAAAACTGAAATATATAATATATTACTTGATAATTGGTACCCTAAAAGAATTATAAATGAAATATGGTACAAAAAACCACAAAATGAAACTGAGTGATAATAATAATGATAAAAAACAGCAAAATAAACCATAATAAAAATAAATATCGAAGTAAAATTTTAAACAAAAAAAACGAATTTGATCACAAATTACTTTAAAAATAATAATTCGGAAATATCTAATAACCTTGAAAAACAATCTCAAAAGTTACCCAGTGCCATACAATTTGAAAATGAAATTGAACAATGTAAAATTAAATATCATTCAATAATTTATATTAAAGATCAAACTAGTAAAATTAAAAGAATATGATCTATCTGAAATTAAATTAGGTAAAAAGCCAGTGAATAAAATTGTATACTAATACAAAAAATATTACTATACCCCGTGATATGAAAAGTAACCTTGTTTATAAAACAAATTGTAAAAATTGCACTAATAAATCATATATAGGACAAACGGGACAATGGTTCGCAAAAAGAATAAAACAACATGAACAAAATTGTAAGTCCAAATCAAACACGACAACCGGCCTTTCACAACATGCCACTTACAAAAAACACCAATTTGACTTTAAAAATGCCAAAATAATATATAAGGAAAATATTAAAAATAAAAAATTATAGAGTCTATATATATTACTAAAAATTTAAAGAATTCCGTTAACAACCATACAGATGTGGACAATATAAATACTTTTTACGCAAATGTAATTAACAATATTCGCATATAATACAAGAATAACTTAAAAGCAATACAAAAAGCATAAATTAGATAAAATAATCCACTAATGCAAAACAATAGAAGGAAAAGCCCTCTCCTTTTGACTATCCCCACCAGGACGATATAAGTCACTAACACACTATCTGGCCAAAATACATATTATAATAAAAAAAACAACTAAAAACTATATGATTTTGTGATTTTCAATTAATCTTAAACTACAAAGAAGCTGAATACTAGCGATTATTTACAAATAAATTAAATATTTATACTACAATGATTTTTGAGGAGGAGGGCAGTCGTAAATGTTGATAGTATATTTTAGTTGGATATAATTTAAGAAAGAATGATAAAGCAACAATATATTTCAACTTCTGCATTGGAAAGATCTGTTATGATATAGAAAAACTACGAAATTATTTCTGTCCAGAATTTATTTTACGACTGTATCCAAGAGAACGAAAATAAACGAAGATTTGTTAGCTGGAACTTGCATGCATTGCCCCATCCTGTCCCGTTAAAGAAACAGACCGCTAAAACAGGGGCAGTATGAGCGGATGATGTGGGGAGGGTTCGGAATTTACGACACTTCTGTTGGAGGAATACAGACCCTGATGAAAATTCAGAATGGGGAAGTGAAAAGGGCAGGAGTTTATTCATTATATGCGTAATTTAAAGAAGTACACACACACGATATCATCTGAGGAAAACAAAGGGCAGGCATTAAGTATTTCGTTAGAAACATTTTTGAAAGTTATAAATTATTTAGAAAAACAATTTGTCCAGAGCTCTGAGGGCTTTAAGATAAAAATTGTTCATAGTGCAATTATTGACAGTAATCTACATGAAAGCTACTTGGCTACCATATTCGATTGTGTCTCTCTGCTTCAAAGTATTTCTTTTCTCTCCCCTCCACCCTTTTGAGGGGATGAGCATTACTCAGTAACATTACTGTAGCCATATTTTTTTCTATATCCCATCACTGCCTTTGTACTTC